GATTAGGCCCATTAACACAAGCCCAGTTACAAGATAAGTTAAACATAAGAATGGGCTAATAAGAACTCTTATCAGCCGAACATAACGCTAATATTCTAACATGCAGCAGGCGGTTAGCAAGCTGATTTCTTGGGTGTCTGTAGCCCCTGATTTTAAAAACTTGAATGTTCCTAAGTTGTTTAGATCTAAATCCATTTGGGTTCTGTAACCTGTTCTGTGTTCTGAGTAGCCAGTTGTGGTTAGCTCTCTTGTTGTAATCAGTGTTTTAAAAGTGCAAGGCGCAAAAAAAGCGCAAGTGCCAATTTGTGCCTGAGGCGCACACCTTTTTAAGCAAGGCGCAAAATTACAAAAAAAAAAAGCTAAAAAATAAAAAAAAAGTCAGAAAATTCAAAACAAATGCCAAAAAATTAAAAAAAAAATAATAAAAAAATAAAAAAATATTAAACATAATGTTAATAAAAAAATATAAACTTAAATTTTAAAATAAATGTTTTAAAAAACTTACTATCTGAAATTAAAATACATAAACATAACATGTAAAGCATATTCAAATGAAATTTTAAAAATAAAAGCAAACATATAAAGCATTTTCAAGATTGTAAAACCCACAATCTCTTTTTTTTCCTTAGTTGCATTGATTCAAGTAGCYAATGTGATGTAAAACATATTGCATTCTTGATTCTATGAGTTGCCTTTGTACCACACCACTTGAGGAAAGCCCAGACAAATCTATGTTAGGGTCTAAAATTCTTATTTCTCACATACAAAATAATGATTTTGTAACTTTCATTGCCTTTTAAGAAGATTTTTTATTGCAATGAATGAATGAACAACATTAGCAAATAGGGGGTTCTCGGAACTTGGGCTGAGGTGCAAGGCRCATCAGACCTGGGCAAGGCGCATACCCCAAAATGCGCCTCGCCTGTGCGCCTAGGCACGCCTCAGGCACGCCTTTTAAATCACTAGTTGTAATGAATCTTTTCTGATTTAAAAAAAAAATCTTACTTTTCAAAAAAAAAATAAAGGAATTATTGAAAAAATTACAGTCAGGGTGGTGCAGTGGTTAAAATTTGTTGACCTATTTGATGATGTCTCTACGGGGATGTTGCTGAATAGCTGGGTGGAGGTGGCAAACTCTGCTCCTACTCGTTCTGCTGTGTCCTGTGTGTTCACCACCAGGTATAAAGTTAAATTTTGATGAGAGCAGTGAGGGTAATCCAGGTCCCTCAGGTGTAGGAGGGGTCTTTAGAGATGAGAATGGAAAGGTGATTGCAATGTATTCAGGTCCTATTGGCTATTGGGAATGAGGACTCTCTTAGAGCTGAAGTCTATGCTGTACTGGAAGGTATAAGGAAGACAAAGGAGCTGAACATATGAAAGCTTGTTGTTGAAGGTGATTCTAAGCTGGTTTAAGATGGTTACAGAAGGAAAGTGGGCTGTAGAAATTTGCTAATGAGAGGACGGAAATTAAATGGCTAACTAGGGGGTGGAAATCCAGTTTCAGAGGATGAAGACAACAGCTAATGCCTTTGCAGACGCTTTGGCAAAGCAAGGGGTGGGAAGAGATCAAATATTTTGGGCTGTACTGTAACTTCTTACTTTATTCTCTGGGGGAGAGTCAAGTCTTTTTACCTCTCTCTGCAGTGATGCAATTATTTTTCTCATTAATTTAATGTGAATTTGTTATTGATAAAAAAAAACTAAAATACTTAATTGGTCAAATTAGAAATGAATAAATATTTAATTATTTAATCAAATTCGAACTCAAGTCTTGCTTGATTTGATTTGAGTTCACTTCATTTACACCCATACTTAGTGGTAAAATCACAGTACTGGTAAGTGTGAGAACATGGGTTCAAGGCTTCAAGCCTAATTGCCTTGAGAGCAGCTACTTCATACAATAAAATGCCAAAGGTTAAATTGATGGTAATTGATCTTTGTTCCACATCACTATTGAAGGATATTAAAATTGCAATACAAATTTGTTCAATCTGGATTCAGCTCTTTCTTGAGTTTGATATGCAATTTGTTTTATTATCTCTGTATAAATGTTGGCTCAAATACATCCAGGAATTAGCTATATACTTTTCTCTATTCACTTTATGAGGAAATCAACCCTTATTAGTAAATACCTCTGCTTATCAGACGAAGAAAGGAGAAAACGAAAAAAAAATGCCATGTGAACATGACCATGCATGTCTATTGTGATGCAAAATATCACACATAGAGGACAGAAATAACGATTTATCCCTTGGCAAATTGTGGAATTGAAATTGAACCTGTAAGTTCTCCATGTCTACCTTACATGTTATAAAATGTTTCAGTTTTTTAGACAAAGCATCCATATTTTGTTGTATAATAAAATAGGTGGTCTACATGAGATGTACAATGCATTCCACTCAAGGTTCAAAATTTGAATACTATACACCCTGTTTGCTCAATATGTCTATTTTATCAGATTTTAAGAAAAACTTTGTTTTAATAGTTAAATAACATTTTTATGGTCCACTTCTGAAATTTTGACCAAAAAAAAAACTGAAAAGTAAAAGATGGAAGATTCAAAGTACCAATACACCCCTTCCACCATATCAGGGTGTATCAATATTTTGGACCTTGTTACCACTAGCAAACTTCTACAGGTACTGCAATATTTCAATTGCTAAGCTCAAGATACTCACTATAATGTAGAATAACAGGATCAGCATGGAAAACCTGTCCCACTCCATGGCCAACAAATTGTCGAACAACACCATAGCGATATTTATCTGCATGATCACTTCAAAAAACCCCAAAGTGAAAATGTTGAACAAATAAAACTATACCTGTAAGCCAAAAGTATAAACACTGAATCTTGAGGCTGAAAGTCCTAATATTCATCCATAAACTGCAACATTTCGCTTTTGTTGTGATAGTAACAAGTAAAACATTCTAAGAAGAGAGAAAGCGAGCTACCCAACATGAGAATAACAGCCATAGGTACTTTGAAATACCTGAGTATGACAAAACTAACTTAGGCAACTCTCAACATCATGACATAAGAATGCTATCTATTCATTATGATGTAAGTCAGTATTCATAAGAACTGACGCTATTGACAGGCAGTTATCCAGGTGACTGGACAATTGCCATGGATTGATAGACAACATAAGCTATAATAGACCATGCTATGCACTTGCCCCTTTCTGGTCCTCTATGCAATTGTTTAGCATGTCACCTGTGAGTCAGTTTTGCCAAGATTGATTGCTTAGTTAGAAGTATATGCATATAAATAAATGTATGGGATGACTCCCTTTGCACTTAATATTTTGTTGGGGATGGACTGCTGCTTGTTCATATTTTGTGCATCCTTGTACATTCCCCCTTTTTGCATTTTAATATAATACTCATACCTACCATTAAAAAAAGACTATATGCAAAAGGACATAATTCCTGTACAATTCATAAAACTGCAGTACTTAAAATGCATATACCAGTTCAACAACATGATAAAAATAATGAAAGGAAAGTGGAGACCAAAAGCAAAGGTGATATAACCAAGAGCTTACTGTATTGTTTTTCCTATTTTCTTGAACTCCACTCCTGGTGCACATATTGATATTGCCTTGTATAGACATTCCTTTGTCACCTAGATGAAAAAGACAACAGATTGTTATCTTTATGCATAATATGGATAAGGAATCAAAGTAGGCAACTTAAAATGCTGAAGTAGTTGTTATAAGAACAATTTTTATTGTAGCTTCATTAAGTGGAAAAAAAGCAAGCTTTTTCCGTCAGTCAAAGAAAAGAGGAAGGGTAATGTGGAGAGCAACGAGGGCAGCAGTTTTTTGGGCAGTGTGGGAAGAGAGAAATAACAGAATCTTTCAAGGGAAAGAAAAATTAGCACATGAAGTCATAGAAGGGATCACCATCAAGGTCATACATTGGCTGAAATCGCTGGATCTGTTCAAGGACTTCTCTGTAGATGACTTAATTAGAGGGTGGAGTACAGTAGCAGCTTCTTCCTGCCCCTCTTTAGCTATCCAAGAGGACTGGTCGCCCCCGTTATCTATGGCTGTTAAGTTAAACTTTGATGGCAGTTCTGTAGGTAATCCAGGCCCCTCTGGAATTGGGGGTGTCTTTAGAGCTGGGGGAGGAAATGTCCTGACCCTTTATTCTGGCCCAATAAGACTGGGGGACTCTCTTAGAGCAGAAGTTCTGGCACTCTTACAAGGGCTCAAGCTGGCTAAGCAGCTAGGTTTTCAGCAGTTGGAAGTGGAGGGAGACTCGGAACTGGTAATAGGTTGGATGCAAACAAACAGCTTAGGCACCTGGTCCCTTAGACAACTTGTAAGGGAGATTATGCAACTAACAAGGGAGCTTGAAGTCAGGTTTAAATGGACTAGGAGATCAGCCAATGCAATGGCTGATACTTTAGCAAAGCAAGGAGTTAGTAGGCAGAACCTTTTTTGGGCCTGTTTGTAATTTGATGAAGGGTCACCTTATTTTTTGAAGGTGACAGTTGTACTAAGTTTCTTAAAGAATTAATGGAAGTTACTGTTTCCAATCAAAAAAAAATGTGGAAAAAAACAAACATTTCAAAAGAATTACAAGACTCATAAAAAAAGAATTACAAGCAATGGCATGAATAATTTAAAGGTATAAAGAAAAGTCGATCAATAAAAGAAAAAAAAAAAAAAGAGATGATTCAGAGACAATATTTTGAAGTAAAGAAACAGTGGAAAACAAAAGAATCACTATTTTTTTTTTCTTTTTTAGGTTAAACCATAAGAAATCATGGCCAGCAAGACCTATGGTTTGAGAGATGTGTTGTCTACATTTTACTCTTTAATTTTAAAACCATTTTTGTTGTCAATTAAACCTATTATTAATCAAAATACAAAAAACCAAAAACACAAAAAAGTTGTGAAAAACTATGGCCCTGTTAGAAATAGAGTAGGATAGATTTACCTGAACTAAGTTCTTAGCTTCGTCATCAACATTTCCACAAAAGAAAGTTGCTGATGTGTCACCATGATAACCCTGTGCATCAAGACTCTGGTAATTCAGATATGAATGTTTTACAAGGATGGTGGAATAAGCATTACCCAACACAGCTTATGATTGTATGTGGGAAAAAAGCTAATTAACAAACAAGCTTTTACAATGACATGTTCATATTTCAATAACGTGATACTGAAACATGTAAAATGTCTGCCATGCTAGTGGGGAGTATCCATCATGACATCTCTAAGTATAACCATTTCATGTTCTCTTTGAATCTATATGGGCGTGTACAAGGGCAACTATATTTATAGAGCACATGAAAGGAGAGGAGTGCTAAGGTGTGCATGACAGTTGCTCACTCACTAGATTAGTATTTTTAAAAGGTGTGCCGCTGCATGTCACCTGGTTTGTTGCTATGTTTTAATGAATCAGCCTTAAATTTGATTCTGAATAGGTAATTAACTTTCTACCAAAAAAAAAAAAAAAGATAATTAACTACATTTTACATTGTACACATGACATTTAGAGTTTAAACAGTTATAACCTATGTAGGACTAGAATTGTTAAGGTACAAGCTTCATATTAATAATATCCATAAAAAAATACTTCATGTTAATGAAACTATGCTTTAATCAAATTGAGCTAATAGGCTTTTACAAATGTTTTGTCTTGAAGAATTTAAACTTACATATTCTTTTTTGTATGAATAACTTTGAAAAGATTTCATTAATTAGAAAACTTTAGGATACAACAAGAAGTTGTAAAAGAAATCAGCTTTAGTAAGCTGACCCGGGACAGAATTACAAATGTGCCCAAAACAATATGTGTTCTTTGAACCCCTTGCTTTACATATTCTTGTATGTTCAAGTTTTTTTCATTTGATTGCTCTTGAAGGATTCCCTGTATTTTTTTGCCCTATAGAGCTGCAGTTTTGTTTGATATCCTGTAGGCTTTAATCTGGTCTTGTTTTTCTCCATTGTGCCTTGGTGATTCCATAATCTCCTTCCTTACTAATTTTTAGTGATATCCATACTATGGAATTAGAGGAACTCTATGGGCGAGTTCAATGAGGTATCAATTGATTCTATGCCACGGTCACTACATAGCATAAGGAATTCATATATTACACTCAAAGAAAGATATCCATTAACCAGATTCCCAACAATGGTCAATTCATAACCCGTCTATTCAACTTTTGCAAGTATTAGAAGAACTTACATTTAAATAAACAGTAACGTCAATATTGATTATGTCACCATCCTGTGAATTGAAACACATACCAGTGAACTTGAATGTTGAATTGGAAGAAGTGTTAAAAAAAGTTAGTTGCTAAAGCAAGACAGACCTCGAGGGCATGGGAGTCTGGTATCCCATGGCAAATGCATTCATTCACTGATGTGCAGACACTCTTAGGAAAGCCCCCATAGCCAAGAGGGGAAGGATATGCTCCATTATCAATAATCATTTGGTGAACAGCCTCATCAATTTCATCTGTCTTTGTGCCTGGCTGCCAATAGAAGCAAGAATTAAAATTTTCAGGTAAAAGTATGAACTCATATTTTATTCTTTTGGAAACTATATGCAAAACTCATATGGTTAGTTTATGTGGTGAAATTTTGAGTGAATAAAACATACTGATAAAAGCAACAAGGGGAAATGTGTCTATTAAAATCAAGTGTTTTTTTTTTCAATGGGACTTGCCTGATGTTTTATATATTACTGTAAATAACATAACCGTTCAAAACAATTGCTGTCTATCACCCCCCCCCCCCTTGGCCATAGAGTCATCCAGCCTATTTGCTCACCCATGGCCTAGAAGAACTGATGATGATATCTCATTCCTAAATAATATAGAATACCCTCAAAAAATAATCTAGAATACCTTCAATAATGTTCAGTCCTTGAGACTATTACTTGCACTAAGTTGTCTTCTATGAATTGGCAGGTCACTAGAGAGCATCAGAAATGGTCCTTGAGACTATTAATCACAAGATCACTTTGTAATTTTGTCACCAGAGAGTGAAGTGAAAGGGTTAAACTTTTTCATTCTACAAAATCATTTATAATCAAGATAAGTCATCCTCGATCCATCATAGTGGGAAAATTTTGCAAGGACAAGGCAAGAAGGTTGCAATGAAAATGGAAATAAAAATGAATGAACATTTTATCCAAATGTTTAATCAGATATATAGTTCATTCATTTGTGGCAAAAACACTTCATGATCTCCCATGGTGGCAAAAACATAATGATATTCTGTTCCACAGGTCTGACAGGAACAAAAATGTTTACAGGTTTATCCAAGAGAGGGACATTGCTTTGGAGTACTATTCCTGTGGCCATAGCATGGTGTACTTGGAAAGTAAGAAACCAGAGAYTGTTTGAGTCAAAATATTAGTCAGTAGAAGAGGTCATCAGGAAAATGATAGGGACTGTTCATTCGTACAGCTGAGTGATTGTGATTCACTGTACAGGGCTATATTTGTCATGTTACAGTTTGTGGAGAATGAATGGATACAATACCTCACCTTTTTCTTGAAATTAAAAAAACAAAACTACAGGTTTACCTTGACCAGAGTCCCAGCATACTCCAAAACCTGTGCTGCAAGCCTTCCAGAAGCTCTCATGCACTCTATCCCCTTCTCATTATGCACTTCAGGTCCACTTGCAATTCCAGGTGGCTGCCGTGAATTAACATACGGAGGCCTTTGTATATGGTTTGGAACAGGCCGACGAGGAGACACCTTTCCAGGGCGTAGACGTTTCCGCCTACCATTTTGTAAGTCATTCTGCTTTCTGTTTATTCCAAAAGAGAGGGAAAAAACAAGTTTTTAGTATAGGTAAACTTAGGGAAATTAGTTTCCATAGTTATTTATTTTCAGATCTTACAGAAGGACTTTTGGTTGTAATGAGAATACACAGTGGTAGTCAGCCGGCAGCATTATTAGATATTATTTCATAGAGGCAATAAAAAAAATTGATTTCTACTCCAAACCTAAAGTTGACAACCTATCCATCATGGTGATTGACATCCCTTTTTTTATTTTGAAAAAAAGCAAAGTAAAAAAATTAGAGATTCCTATCTACTGCAATTATTATTACCCTAAAGTTGGATAAAATCTTTGGCCATTTTGGTAGTTGAGAATTTTTATTGTGGGTTTGTTGTACTAAGAATCCATAACTGAGAACACTTGAAAACCCTACATGGCACAGCAGATGGCACTTCCTCAAACAAACACCACAAAGTTCCATGATAACAATGAAAAAACAACTTTTCTCTTGGCATCATAAATTCACCTTCTATTTGATGAACTTTAATATATATAGTGGCACTTTGATGTCATCTAAAATTTACCTTTATTTGGCAACATTTTAATAAAGAACTTAATAATATTTTAACTAAAAATAAAAGAAAACAGTATGATTAAAAACACCTACTAGGCCAATCTTATTATATACATTACATAGTTGATGTACTTATCTCTCTTATAAAGTGTGAATATTTTATGTTAGTTTAGTAATTTTTTTAACAAGGGATCCTAATGGGTTCAAGGGCTGGAGGTTTTCAGAGGTGGTTTCAATTAGAGTCACTCAGTGGAACTTTTCAGAGCATATTGGTTGATTGTGTTGAAACCCAAGAGACTAGCATATCATTTTTTTTTTGATCAATAACTGTGGATTGAATTAATATTAAAAATATGAGAAAATTACAGGGCAAGGGGGCTAAACAATCTTAGCTCCMAAGAACAACYATTAMDYATCAAAAGAACAAAAATTACAAGACAGCCCAAAAAATAGAATGTCTGTTCACCCCTTGTCTAGCTAGACCATCTGCCAAAGAGTTCGCACTTCTTTTTAC